GTGTGTGTGTGTGTGTGTGTGTGCGTGCGTGCGTGCATGCGTGCACCTGTGTGTGTGTTTGAGGGGGGGGGGGGGGACATTCTATCTTATTCCCAAGGTTGCATACTAGTATGTTGCAAAAGAGGGATCCACAAGCAGGATTCAAACCCAGCTCCCCTGTCTTTCTGGGACAGCGCCCTACCGATTAGGCTACCGGGGATCACACACACACACACACACACACACACACGTGGGTCCTTCTTGCTACACATGTACTGTACATATTAGATAAACCTTGTTTTGTTGAAACATGGTGTTGGTTAACAGCATGTAACAAGGTGTAGGACACCGTGTTCGGAAACACTACCAACCGTGGATGGTTGTAGAAAGGTCACTGTTTCCGAAAACGGTGTCCTCCATCTTGTTTCATGCTGTCAACCAACAATACTGTGCATGTACCGTGTTACCATGGTTACATTGTACATGTCCCACGTGTCCTGCAGGACCGGCTAGTACCGACGGCTCAATGTCTATGGCAGCACGTCACCACCAGCAACAGCAGCAACACCAACAGCAGCAACCTGCCACTGCCACTGCTGCTGCAGCTATGCCTGAACCAGCTGCCGCCCCTGCTCCGGTTGTTGATCTACTGCACCTGGAAGCCACCGCACCGTCCATTGGCGGACTGCGCACTCCGCTCATGATGGCTATCATCGGTGGCCATACGGCAGTTGTCAATGTCTTCCTGGAATTCAGGCGTAAGTTTACTCTTACTGTAGGACCAGATATTTTAACCTCAATTTTAGTTTTTGTGGGTTAGCGAGGTGAGATTCTAACGAATTCCGTCTCAAAACTGGCAAAACGACTGTGCATGTACAGGTCGTTTTCCACATAACGACTTAACATCTCTGTCATGTGGTTGTTGCTGCTATCCTCTTCATCATTATTGCTGTGATTCTTGTTTATAAAAATGGTCTATTTCTTCTTGTTGACGCCTTGTTTAAAGCATCCACTGCACAGCACACAGCCGTGGACCTGGAGATACGCGACGGTGACGATGAGTCGGCGCTGGGCGTCGCTCTGAATTGCCGTGCGTACAACATTGCGGCCGTTCTCCTTTCGGCTGCTGCCCGGGTGGACGCGAACACGAGCAGTGGCTTGACGTTACTGCACAAGGCCATTCTCAGAGATGACACCGGCGCGGCGTCGTTCCTATTGGAGCACGGTGCCAACATCGACACCAGGTCTGTGTGTGTGTACTGCTGCTGCGCTAGTGTGTGTGTGTGGGGGGGGGGTGGACGTTTGTACTTTCGTGTGGATGTTGTGTGTGCATGTTTGTTTGTGTGTGCATGTTGTGTGTCTTATTCCGTGCATCTGTGTGTTATGGCTGGGTGTTGCCACTGCTGGGGAAGGGAGAGGCAGAGACGATTGCATACACGTGCGTATTTCTTTTATTCGTTCACCTTACCTCAAACTCAATCCTGCCAATGAATTATGAAGGAGAAGAGAGCAGGAGGGAGGGCAGAGGCAACTAATGGCAGGGGGCCATACTCGGTTGCTGTTTGCTTGCCCGTGGTGTGATGCCTTTGCGTACTGTATGCTCACCTGACGACGTGTATGCGTATTCTATGTTGTGTGTGTGTGCGTGTGTGCGTGTGTGTGTGTGCGTGCGTGTGCAGAACGCGAGACAACCGCTCACCACTGCAGCTGGCCATCACCCGGCGACTACCCAGCGTTGTGGAGGTCCTCTGTCAGCGCGGTGCGGATCTGAATGCCGTCGATGAGAATGGAACCATGCCGCTGTGGGCAGCGCTCATGAGCAAGCAGATGGATATCGCCACCACACTGGTATGTGCCGTATTTCCCGAGTACAGTCAGACTTCGCATAACCGCCGCACACATCCGTTTTCCACAAACATATCCAGACAGGCGAGGGAACCGGATACTAGTAATCGAACACACGTACTGTATGTATGCATGGCATATGCTGTAAATCGGTAAGCACCGATTTTCTTCCAGATGGCGAGGGATCCGGATAAAAGAGGACCGGATAATTGAGGTCTGAGTGTATAAGCCACACATTAAACACCAGTATTTCACCCAGCTAAAGTCAGTACTATGGTGGTCAAATGAATGGTCATTATGTGGTGTAGATATCTGTGTTCATGACGAAAAATCTGGCTGTGGCTTATACTCCATTGCGTCTTATACGCCGTAAATACGGTGCGTCAGTTTTCTTTTTGGCTTCCTGTTGCGACGACTGTGGTGTTGACGCTGCCAACTCTGTCCGCGCATCTGTCTGTGCGTGCTGGCAGCATGCACAGACAGATGCGCGGACAGAGGAAGGCGTACAGACAGCTGTGCCATCAGGGAGGTTTCGCTCTACGGACTTACGTATGAAAATAACGTAGGAACTGCACGTAATTTTCATACGTAAAAATTAGGGGTGAAACGAGTATCTACTTTGACCAATCAATCACTCGTTCATAATATTCGATTGAGTATCCGATTAGTTCGAGTATTTTATCAAAATTCAAAAGCACTAGATTTGCGAGTTCTCGACCAATTCGGAAGAAATTATCTGTGAACATGGAACAAAAGTCGCCGACGTCCTGTACAGAGTGTAAAGTAACGATTTTCATCAGTACTTTCATATCTCAGAACGTTACTTGCCGTGGTGATCGCATCGTCCAAGTCTTAAAATACTGACTCAAAGCCATGCATAACGCATGCATACCATGTACCAGTGGACCAGCGGTACAACAAAAGTTTTTGAAAAATACAATGTCAATACAAAAAAAAAAAAAAAAAAAAAAAAACGATCGAGTGCAAAATTTCGAATACTCGCTCGTTTGAAATTGTCGAACGAATACTCGAATATTCGAACTAATCGTTTCACCCCTAGTAAAAATCAGCGCTATTGGGTTTCGCTCTACGTGATTTCTCCACGACTACTAAGCATGCCTTGTTGCTTTGGAGACGGGTTGGCTGCATGCGCCCACCGCATGCACCACGAACCGAAACCGCGTTTTCCATTTTGTTTTCCGCGTGGTGTGTGCCTTGTGTTTCGCGCGGCTTGAACGTTGCCATGGATAAATCCGGAAAGTGCGAAAAATATTTCAAATAGTCCTACGGGAGACCCAACGTAGGAAACAACAGTGACTCGACACGTTGTTAGTCTGTATGCATATGATGATGGACATACGGGTGTTTTCCGTTTGTGTTCACAAACACGTTTGCCTTGTTTGGGTTCACTACTGCTTGGTAGGTGAAGTTTGGCTGCGACCCTAACTGCTGGACGGTAGCACCCGACGGTCTCCAACAGACGTTGCTGCACCGAGCCATTGCCATGCGCAATGAAGAAGCGGCCGTCTTTCTAGTGAAGAGTCGTGCTGACGTGGACAGCTCACGCCGCAACCCAGACGGTAAGCGGTGGGGTGGGACGCAACGAAACTGCTGGAATTGTGCGATATGTGTGTGTGTGTGGGGGGGGGGGGGGGGGGTACGCGAGTGTGTGTGGGCGTGGGTGCATCTGACTGTGTGTGGGCGTGTATCTGTAGTTTACGAAGTTAGCGACAGCTCGCACTTATACAGTTCACATTATAATAATTATTTGTTTGGTATGATTGTGATTGTATTGCGTCTAGTTTGTGTATATGACATGGTCACTGATTGTGTATATGTGTGTGTGTGTGTGTGTGTGTGTGTGTGTGTGTGTGTGTGTGTGCGTGCGTGCGTGCGTGCGTGCGTGTGTGCATGTTACAATATATACCGGTGTGTGTGTGTGTGTGTACAGGTTCTAATGCCAGCGGTGGTAGCACTCCCTTGCACCTGTGTGCTGCCTCTGGTCTGGACCATGTTGTGCAGTGTTTAGTAGTGGAGAATGCAATGGTCAATGCCACGGTAAGAAAGTCGCATGTGAAGCCAGAAGTATTTTTTAAATACTACTGGTTTACTTAAAAAAAATTAAACTCGGATGTTGAGTCAAAGGGTGGGTGGGTGTGTGTGTGTGGGTGTGGGTGTGTCCGTATGGGTACCTCTGGTTATATGTATGTGTGTGTGTACGTGTGGGTACCTGTGTGTGTACGTGTAGGATACGGACGGCAGGGCACCGATTCACATCTCGATCAGCGCCAAGCAGAACAAAGTCACGGCTCTGCTGCTCTCCCATCCCAATCTTGACCTGGGACTGAAGGACCGGCTGGGACAGACGCCGTTTGCCGCTGCGCTAGCTGCTAGAGACAACGACGCCGCCAACAACATCCTTCAGCGCAGTCCAGACTCTGCCCACCAGGTAGGAGATTGGAAGTGTTTTCCGCCGGATGATGTTACGTTACTGTATGTTCCCGGAATTTAAGTCGCACCTTTAAAACTTCAAGGGCAAAGAAGGTAGTGCGCCGTACAATCGAGTGTGACGTTCCACTTACACCGGTATGTGACTATTGGTGAAACAACATGGCTCAAGCCGGGGGGGGGGGGGGGGGGGGGTGCGGCTTATGAACGAGCGTGACTTATAATCGGGGAAATATGGTGGCTGTTCAACACCACTGCTTAAAGACAACACCTGACATTCCTGAGACACCACCTGATATTCTCTGGGAAGCATTGACCCACTCTAACTATTCTCCCCCTGTTCTTTTCATTTCTCTCTTTTCGCAGACGGATTCCCGCGGCCGTAACTTCCTGCACCATGCCGTGGAGAAGGGTGACGTGGAGGCGCTGGTCTTCCTGATGAGTGTGGGTGTTGACGTGCGTACCCCCGTACAGAACGCCAGCAACCAGTCTGCACTGCATCTGGCCGTCATGTCCGGATCGGAGATCATCTGCAGACACTTGGTAAGTACACTCAACTTCGTTAATAACGACTGCGGATATAACGACAATTCGCGAATAACGACAGAATTTCCATGCTCAGAGCAAAGTCCCATCCAACTGTAATACTGTACATAGAATGAGACTTCGGGCATAAGGACATTTCGCGAATAACGACACTTTTCTGATGCCCTGCCGAATGTCGTTTTACGCAAAGTTGAGTGTAGTACAGTAATGTGGCATATAAAAGCCGGGCAGCGGCTTAATCCTCTAGAAACCGATGGCAGGGCTAGGCTTCTATTCACATCAGGCTTCTATTCAAACCAGGTATTTTCCATGTGTGTCAACACTAAAAACCAGGCGTGTGTGCTGACAGTGTATCTCCAAAATCAGGCTTGTGTTCAAAACAGGTTTTTGTATGAGACAGGCTTTTATACAAGACACTACCGTATACAATATGAGATGGTGATGCTGCTAGATGTACTTGTTGACAGTGTGCTGCTGCTGCTGCTGCTGGTCATGGTGCTGCTGGTCATGGTGCTGCTGGTCATGGTGCAGGCATTTGTTGGTTGCCCTGTATCTGAGTAAGCACTTTTTGGTGATCACTTAGAGTGTGTGGAACTCGAAGTTGGAAGATTTTTTTCTCTCTCTCACTCTCTGTCTGTCTCTCCGTGTCTCTGTGTGTGTGTGTGTGTGTGTGTGTGTGTGTGTGTGTGTGTGTCTCTCTCTCTCTCTCTCTCTCTCTCTCTCTCTCTCTCTCTCTCTCTCTCTCTCTCTCTCTCTCTCGTCTCTGTCTCTGTCTGTCTATCTCTCTCTCTCTCTCTCTCTCTCTCTCTCTCTCTCTCTCTCTCCTGATGTTCTTGCTGGTATCATTAATATATTTTTTTAACTTTTCTTCCTCTTCTGTTGTTGTCAGTTATTGGCAGGGTGCACAGCAGCAGATATTGATCACCATCGTCGCACGCCACTACACTTAGCGGCCGGTGAAGACCATGCTTCCATTGCCGGCGTCTTACTGGACAATGGTGCTGATCCGAACAGTATCGATGATAACTACGACAATGGTACGCTGCACGGCTCGGGGGAATGCTGTTCTTATCATTGCTGTGTGTGCGCGTGTACGTGTGTGTGTGTGTGTGTGTGTGTGTGTGCATGTGTGCATACGTACATGTGTGCACGTGGAGGGGGCTGCTTACAGGCCCGTAGGTGGCCAGCGCACTCCATAAAATCTCCAGTTCAGATTTCCGCTCAACCAAGCCTCAGACCTGTTTGGATTTGCTAATTCAACGAAATACCCGAAATCAAAAAAAAGCAAAAAACAAGACTTACTGTCAAACTGCAACAGGTGCTATTTTTAGACTTGATGCAGTGCTACATGTATCTTTAGACTTGATACACTGTACAGGGACGGCGTTGGAAGGTAGTTTAGTGTGGTACGGTCAGCCATCTGAACTACAATTTACTCGTTGGGGAGCCTGAGGAGGGGTGGCTGAGCTGAAATTTTTGGAAATTTAGAGCCCAAATCAGAGCTTTCTTTTGATTCGCGGGGTACTTGGGGCGACTAGTGTTACGGTCAATACCGTAGTGACCGTACCGTGTGTGACGTCCCTGTGATGGCATACGAATCTTCTTTTGTTGTGGGTGCTGGTGCTGTTGTTGTTGTTGTTGTTGTTGTTGTTGTTGTTGTTGTTGTTGTTGTTGTTGTTGTTGTTGTTGTTATCATCACTGCCGTCATGGTAACGTGTTGCCTTTGCCCTGTGTGTTTCTGTGCCTGCTGTACTGTATTGTAGCCCTGCACATTTCTGTTCAAAGTGGTCACCTGTCCGTCAGCCGTAAGCTGCTCGCAGACTCTGATGTCAACTGCGAAGTCGCAAATCTTAGGTACTATTCTTTTTGTGTGCCTGTGTGTGTGTGTGTGTCTCTCTCTCATTCACTCAGCACTGCCTCATACACCCTCTCTCTCTCTCTCTCTCTCTCTCTCTCTCTCTCTCTCTCTCTCTCTCTCTCTCTCTCTCTCTCTCTCTCTCTCTCTCTCTCTCTCTCTCTCTCTCTCTCTCTCTCTCTATCTATCTATCTCTCTATTTCTCTTTATCTCTCTCTCTCTCTATCTATCTCTCTATCTCTATCTCTATCTATCTCTCTCTCTCTCTCTCTCTCTCTCTCTCTCTCTCTCTCTATCTCTCTCTCTATCTCTCTATCTCTCTCTCTCTCTCTCCACCTGCCCTCCCTCCTTGTTGTCAATAACGTTATCTTTCTGTACTAACAAAGTCTTCCTTTCAGCCTAGATATAATTTATTCTTCTGATGCCTGTATGTATCACAGCTTCTCGTACTGCCACCAATAATAATAATGTGTGTGCGTGTCTGGGTGTGTCTGTGTCTGTGTGTCTGTGTCTGTGTGTGCGCATGTGTGTGTGCACGCATGTGTGTGTGTGCACGCATGTGTGTGTGTCTGTGTGTTGTGTTGGTATGCATGTGTGTGTTTGTGTGCATTCAGGGGTCAAACTGCTCTTCACCTACTGTGCAATAACCCCAAGGACAACGCTGCAGCGCTGTTTGACAGCATGATGGAATATAGACCACAGTTAAATGTCAACTTCCCCGATGCAGAAGGAAACACACGTAAGTTAGTGTTACATTGCCGCATCCACGCTGCCCTTCGCCTTGCGCTCGGTAACTAGGTACTAATTCACTGTGGGTCGCAGCACGGTTGGAAAAACCCATCCGCTTCCAAGCAGGACTTGGTTCTGGTACCTCTTGTTTCTCAACCATGGTCTTGGACCAACCCACTGTGCCTGCCTGCCTGCCTCCCTACCTCCACCACCATCGCTCAGGAGCCACGTCTGACGCCTGATCCTGGTTTTGTGGCGTCCCAGGGAAGAGGAAAGGTGCTTCTTGACCTGTTTGGTATGGGGATTTATTATAATAATAATTATTATGTTGTGAACTTGTTTTGAGTCAGAAGAAGGTGGCTGCTTCAAGCATTGGAGTTCGTGCTTCTAGCTCAGTTCGTATTGTTTGCAGTCGCCAGCCGAAGTATCCTTGTGTTGGTGCTCATGGTGATGGTGATGCTGCATGACTGACCCTGTGTGTTTGTGCGTGTGTGTGTGTGTGTGTGTGTGTCTGTGTGTGTGTGTGTGTGCTTGTGTGTGTGTGTGTGTGTGTGATGTGTGTGTGATGTGTGTGTGTCTGTGTGTGTGTGTGTGTGTATGTGTGTGTGTGTGTCTGTGTGTGTGTCTGTGCCCCCCGATACCGGTTGCTCCATTGCACAGCTATTCTCCTGGCGTACATGTCCGGTGCTGGTAACCTGTGTCGCTCACTACTACGCCACAACGCCCACCCCGGCGTGATCAACAAACAAGGAGTGTCGATGTTCAACTCACCTGTGGCCACCAAGAAACTGCTCTTCCGACTGCTGGAGATGCTTAGTAGTGAGCCACCGTGGCTGGAAGGCACGCAGTGTTACACCTGCCAAGCTAACTTTGGTATCAAGACCAGGAAACACCACTGGTGAGAGATTGTCTTGCGTGTGTGTCTGTGTGTCTGTCTGTGTGTATGTGTGTCTGTCTGTGTGTGTGTGTGTGGGGGGGGGGGTGTTTGTGTCTTGTGTGTCTTTGTGTGCATGTAAAAGCTGTGCTTTGTAGTCCAGGCTGAATAGTGGCGGTCGGTTTTTCTGGTTTGCAAGCTTTTCGATAAAGTTAGTATGGCTTCTGAAGTTCTGCTGGAGTATCGCTATCATCGCCTCCAGCAATTGACATCTAAGGTGCGTGTGTGGGTGGGTGTCCGTCTGTCTCTGTCTGCCTGCCTGTGTGTCTGTATGTGTGTGTGTGTGTGTGTGTGTGTGTGTGTGTGTGTGTGTGTGTGTGTGTATGTGTGTGTGTGTGTGTGTGTTTGTGTGTGTGTGTGTGTACATTGTCCACACCACTACAGTCGCCACTGCGGCCGATTGCTCTGCTCCAAGTGCACGCAACAGCAGATGCCTATTATCAAGTATGACATCCACAAGCCGACGCGTCTCTGTGAAACTTGCTACGACGTTCTCAGCATGCAACACACATAGGTGGATGTGTGTATATGTGCAGATGGGGTCCATGCAGCTCTGCGTTGGTGCTAAGCATGTGTGCGTGTGTGTGCGTGTGTGTGTGTGTACGCATGCTTGCCCGGAGCTACATGTCATTATTCTTTCGCCTGACCGCTCCATTGAGGCCTGAGGACTGCTGCTGGTATTCCCATCAATGTTCCTCGCATCTCTTGAACCAAAGTTCAAGATTCTCTGGGTCTACCTGTGTTTTTTGTATTTTAGCCGTGTCCCCTTCTGAACCAAGTGTTTCACAGTGATCAACCTTCCTTTGTCATGAGAATATTCTCTGTGCGCCTATTATTTTACCTTTGCACGGGCAGATAGAGTATTTTACCAGATATGCGCATACCGCGCACGGATTTGTGTACGTGTGTGTACGTGTGTACGTTTGTACTTGTGCCCCTTTTTTAACATATGATGGAAGCTATTCACTGTTATGCTGTACAAGTAGTCTCTTCCTCTTCGCCATTGCTCTCTATTATTTATACATGTTCTGATGTGCTGTTTCCCACTGTCAGTGAGCCTGGTGCTCTCCCCGGCCCCACTGCCCGGTATAGCACTTTGTGTGTATTTCCTCAATTTTTCTGTGCTCCTAGATAATCATGAGTCATAGTAGGCGATTGTAAGTTTTGTTTTGAGATTTTTACCCGAACCTGGGGTCGATTGACCCCACGTGCTCACTGCCGGTTTTCTGGTCTTCCAAAATATGTTGGTGATGTTTTTACGTGAATAGCTTCTTCAGTCTTGATAGGCAGGCCTGTGTACAGTGTTTCTGGATATGGACTAGGCAAATTTTGTGTTTTTTAATTTTTGGTTTTTGTAGTTCTTGTTATTATGGTTATGGTCAGAGGCAGCTACTGGCCTGTCTGTCGACACTTGCAATAGTGCTGTGTGAAGTTGGACTAGAATTCGTACAGGAAATGTGTTTGAATGCTCTGTGTGTGTGTGTGGTGTGCGTGTGTGCGTGCCTGCGGGTGTGTGCGAGAGCGTGTACGTGACTGAGACTACACTCTGGTTTGGAGCGAAAGGAGGCACCGTGCGCATGAACAGCACACGCCCAGTTCAGAGCGGATACCGATGATCGCAATAACATGGCCGCCAGGACTGGTCCGGTTTGTCAGGTTATCACCGGACCAACATTTTAGCCACCATCCAACTTGCACAAGATTGTACTTAGTCATCGGGGATATCGGTGCGTAAACACAAATGCCGTCCCTATACATGACGGTCACGTCGGGCAAGCTTGACAAGGAGAATCCTGACATTGTAGACATGCACATGTACCTGTAACTGTCATGTCCTACAAACACCATTAGTTAGCACTCACCAGTTTTGTCCACACGCACTCACAGCTGCCACATTCATCTACTGCTACCATTCTCAGATACACTGCAAAGGTTCACACTACACGCGTTATGCATAACCGCTAGCTGTGCTGCATTCTCACGCTTCTTTTCATATTC